TTGAGACTCGACTGCAGGTGGGTGGAGAAAATGGGTGTGACTGATAGATTTGAATGGGATAAATTCACCAAAAGGCAGAATCACAATTTCTGACAATAATGCCCAAATTTTTGATTTGTGAAATTTGCATCTAAACATCTTCATATGGTGGAAATATTTCATATAAAACAGTTTCTTCACAATTTTGGAGGATGTATTGAGAGTACCAGTAGTTAAAAGAAAAAGTCCTGAATGGGAAACATGGACAAAAGGGTAATAAAAAATAATTATTTTTTGACACTTTTCATATTATTATTTCCAAACTCTTGAAGTGAGTGTAATGAAGCTTGTTGCTTCCTTGAGTTCTTTCCTAACAAGTGTGAGGTGCTCTCCTTAAAACACTCCTATCAACAGGGTTGGCGATTTTTTTGATTTTTTTAAAAATAAAAAAATAAAAAATCAATGATTTTTTTATTTTTTCATAATTTTTTTGATTTATTTGATTTTTTTGATTTTTCAACTTTTTTGTCTTTTTGAAGTGTTATTTTTTATGTTGCAATTAGCCTACTAACAATAACAGTATATGGATCATAATGGATGGCTAAAAAGGGCACTTATTGCCTTCAATAATGGCCAACAGGCCAAGGTAGTGTTTACCACTTAGGGATTTTTGGGTAAACAATTATTGGTAAGTCTATTCATTAGTTTTGTAACGTTTGTATGGAGCAAGGTAATGAGCTTAATATTGACTATTTAACTGGTTTCAATAAACAAAAACACTTCAGGAATGCAGATCTTCTAAACATTGAAGAGTCACATTACAAATAGGTAGCTGTTAGCACAGTGCACAGCACCATCAATAGATCTACTAGTTTTATGTCCTATAAATCTACCAGACTCTACCCTCTATACACACCGACTGGAAATGACTGAGTGACTGACTGCACTGTTCCCATTTAATTCAGACCAATAAACAAATACTAAACATAAACTGAACGATAACCCAACAAACCTCGTACGACTTGAAATGAGACTCAAGTTATGAAAAAATCTAATACAGTTTGAAATAGACATGTGCACAATTCAAATATTTTATATCCATTCACTGCATTTAAATATTTTATATATAGTCTTATAATTGTAATTGTTTTGTTTCTAGTTTTAAATTCACTTATTTAAAGATTGAAATTAAATATTTTAATTAGAATACTCATATTAGGGTGGAAGAATCTTTCTAATTGCCCAAAAGGTCAATACAATCTCAACCTCTCAATATACAGGGTGGGGCAGAACCGATTGAGCAGTTTTGATGTAAAATAAAAGAGTAATGGAGGTACATAAAGAAGAAAGTTTATTTTCCTAGAGGTTAGCATGACATAACCGGTACCATTTAGAATACTTATGTTTTGAAAACAATATCTGGAAGATGGGGGCTGTTAGCTGCAACACACTGTTGGAGTCGTTCTCAGAGGAGGGAGTAACCATAACTGTGAATTCCGATTGCTATGCTGCAATGTTGCGAAATTTCTTGCAGCCCATGATGGTAAACATAGTTAAAAATGAAGCATTGGGAGACATGTGGTTCCAGCAGGATGGGGCTACAGCTCACACAGCCCGAATATCACTCAATGTTTTGAAATGCATGTTCCCAGACTCTGAGGGGTAATTTACAGTGGCCTGCGAGGTCACCTGATATGAGCAATTGCAATTTCTTTCTTTGGGGACATCTAAAAGAGAGGGTATTCAGAAGTTACCCTCACACCCTACCACAGCTAAGGGAATGGATAATTGTAGCAGAGGTTATGGCCATACCTTGCCATTTGTTTGAAAGTGTTGTAGGAAACTTCTGAGAACGACTCCAAGTCTCCAACAGTGTGATGCAGCTAACAAACACCGTCTTCCTGATATTGTTTTCAAAAAATAAGTATTTTAAATGGTATGTTAAGCTAATCTTGAGGAAAATAAACTTTCTTCTTTATGTACCTCCATTACTCTTTTATTTTGCCTCAGAACTGTTCAATCAGTTCTGCCCCACCCTAAATAAGCTAGCTAACACATTCAAATTGTATATTGTAATCAATATATAACAAATAGTCAAATAGTTGAAGACTACTTATAGCCTTATAAAAATTAGCTAAGCTGCCAGCTACGTACAATGTATTGCACACTTGATGCCTCTGTACCAAAAACATTTGATTTATTGGAACCTAATACACATTGAAGGCAACAAGTTTATATACCAATTTGTCATTCATAGTACATTTATACTAAATCATGAATAACAATACCTCAATATAAATTAAAGACTGCCACTCAATATATTTAAATATATGAAGAAATCAAAAAAATCGAAAAAATAGAAAAAATCATGATTTTTTTATAAAAAAATCAAGTGATTTAATCACATGATTTAATCATTTTGATTTAATCATTGCCAACCCTGCCTATCAATCAACAAACGTTTATTCAAACAATGGAATAGTACACGTCTAAATGGAATAGTAAACATTAATACAAAAGAACATCATCAAAGGTAGACTAAATATATACTCTTTGCATTACAGATACAAATTGCGGGTAGCGGCTTAACCATCTCAACACGAGATCACACAGGCACTATACTTCTGGACTCCTCCTTGATCCGAGAACTTCCCAGACAGGATCTTCAAGCTGGACCTTCAATCATGTACTTTTCCTAAATCGCACTTTTCACACTTTTTTGCAGAAATGACCGCCATTTTTTATGAGATACGCAAATTCCATTAATCACGTTTTTACGCCAACACCTGTGTGCAACTTTATGTAAGTAAAATTTTAATATACAGTGAATTTTTTTTGCTACAGACCTTAGCAGAGGTAATTTTCTAAAATCTCACTTTTCACACTTTTATTCAGGGATTTTTTAGAGGTAGTAAATGTACGATTTCTTAATTTTCTTTATGCTACTTATATAGTAAAAATGGTGAACTTTACACCACTATTTTTCATTTTGCAATATTTTGATTAGTTAAGCTGCTACAACATTCCTACCAAATGTGGGATGACTGTCCCGATTTACCCCACCCATCCCTAATTACCCCGTTTGAGTAAATAAGTAATGATTAATACCTGCTGAATAAATAAAAAGTAAATGAAAATGAATGGGAAATAACTGCCAAGTAATTTATAAATAAATGATAAATCAGTGATAAATAATGATAAATTATTAATAAATGAATAATATATTAATAATAAATTAATAACACTGGTAATACTAGTACCGCTTCATCAAATGCCATTGCAGCTGCCATTCACACAGGCACTGGACTTGTCTTTTTGCATCTTCCACCATAACGGTCCGACCATTGACAGAGCCCTGAAATTTAAAGAGCATTCTCAAAGAGCTGTTAGCTTGATTTTTTGCCATCTTTCATGAATGCCCAATAAAATATCAAAGTTTTTTAGCACCAAATAGTAGTAGCCTAGGCCCTATGCTGACTAGCACTTGACAATCTTCACTAGTAAGTTGACCATGGGGTAAGTGGAAGTAAAAAATTTCATGTAACAATGTCTTCGGAACAGTAAAACCGTCCTGGCCAGTGAATTATATGCAATAAACTCCTCAAACTATGTACTATGGACCCAAAACAGGAAGGCACAGTCACATCACACATGATCACTGATCTGAATCAGTACAGCATTACTAAATGTGAACCACGGTACTGCCATTGCCATCTGCTTGTGGCACAGGCATTAGAGTTAAAATTGTCTATTTTGCGACTTCTATCATCAATGTGCGACTAATAGCAGAGCTCTGAATTTAGAAAGCATGCTCTACTGTTAGGTTGATTTCCCACTATCGTTCATTAATGGCCCAATACGATATCAAAGTTCATTTTTAGCACAAAGTGGCACTCTTTGCAAATCAGAGCAAGCAGATTATAGAAATTTATTTAAAAACAAGATGGCATTGTCATAATACAAGTTTTTTTATTCATTTCAAAAACAAGCCAATAAAATTAAGCTGCCAGTTAAGCAGGACTTTTAGAACTAAATGTCTCCCACACAGTGAAGTTAAATATGTTGTTTTCTCAAGAAATTAGAAAAAAGCCATTGGTACGGGCAAAAGTGTTGATTCACAGGCATTTTTGTCCAATTCATGGTTGACTTCTGCTTAATTTTCTACTTAGTCTCTGATGTTGACAAACGGTGCTGACTGCTGACATTTGATTGTTAATTATTGGCATTTAATTGTCACTAACTTGTTCTTTAAAATCATGTAGATGTGGCCATACTGTACTTGGTGGCCAGATCTGGTTGATTGTTTTATTGAATCACATTGCATTTCAGACTTTAATTAATTTTAAATTAATATTTAGGCATTCTGCATGATTAGTGGCATTTTTTTTACTTAAAAAGCCTGTAGCAGTGTTTGAACTGGCATAATAATATATCTGTATAATTTCCCATTTTTTCCAGTTTGATCAGAATGTTACTGTGATGCTCAAGCCTAGCTACAAATAATTCTTTAGTGCAATACTGCTAAATAAGGAGTTTAAACATCTTATGGTATGGCATCTAACTATACTGTATCAAAACTAAGTATAAAATAGTACTGAAAACTGGCAAGTTGTTGTTTTGTCTGCTGCTTGAGGAAGTGGAGTCGTCCTCCATACAATATTGGTTCAAATCTTGAATACATGAGAAAATTCAAATTGAACTGATTTCGAAATTTTTTAGTTTGCCACTATGCTTAATGAGTTGCACACTGGAAGTTCAGTGCAGTATCTACTGAGTGGGTGCCTGGGGCCAAGTGGCAGATCATGGTATCAAATTGTCGATGTCATTGACATTAACCCTTGACGCCTTGGAAAGTTCAATGCCAAGTGGACAGCTGTATGTGGACCATGCAGTGACAGTTAGAATTCATGGCAGTTAATTTGTGTTCTTAACTTAATTGGTATTGTGCCACAATTTAAAATACATGCTCCACCAATCAGGGCACAACTATACAAGTCACAACCTGCTGCTAGATTTTTATTTATTTTTTTGCAAGATGTATTCATATATTTTTCAGGCAGTTATTCAATTTCTCTCATTGCAAGGCCAAGGTGCAAGTTTAAAGTTGAATGATGGCTGAATTTTAATTAGACAGCGGGCAATCAGTCTTACTCTGACAATTCAAGGTTTTGCAGGAAGCTCATCACGATGAAACAATTGGCATTTGTTGATTTGTTTGAGGATATTTTATAATGCTATCTAATAAAAAGTAACTTTTCTTTTTGACTGCAGCTGTAAGTGATAAGAATGCATGCAGGTTGTGTTATATGCGATGAGGTCTTCATGCCCAACATTGAAGTGTCGGCCACACCGTGTGGTCACATCTTCCACACCACATGTGTTTCTCAGTGGTTTGAAAGGTATGCCAAGTAGTTTTGTAATATGGTATTAGAAATTATTGAATTATGTCAATTGCGATAGTTTAATGTAATTTATAATATAGGTATATAATTCGCAAATTGTGATTCATCAACCACAAGGTTTTTAGTATACTACTGAAGGCATCTCTATAAGAAAATTACTTGTTCTTTTCTCATGTTCCTTGAATGCCATAACTTATGATGCTGTGCACAGTATCTATTGTGTTGACATGTACATATTCATATAATGTTTCCTCCTTATTTATATATGCAGGGTTTGTACCAGTCATGAAAGACCTGGAAAGTCATGGAACTTGATTTTTCATTTTCCAGGCCTGGAAAGTCATTGGATTTCATTTCAGGTTATAGGAAGTTATCAAATTTGAAAATAAAAGAAGAAAAACGAATGTGTTTTTCTGTGCTGCGTGTGTAAAACTGTTTGTGCAGTCTCTCGTTTCATGTGTTCTGATTGGAGAACCAATTACATGAGCTCGGTCACCAAACTTAGTTGCATTGGACAACTTTTTGATCTGCAGTTGCAGCATTCCTTCTTCAGTGTGCAATTTCTACATCACCATCTCTGGAAAGTGTAAATTTCATGGCTTGTGTAGTTGTGGTTAAGAATAGAAGCTAATCATGACTGGCTTGCTAGCCATCCAAAGCATGAAGGTATGGCGATATCATGTACATTGTGCTCAGAAGACTTTGAGGTGTCAAATTTGGGGGAAGCAGCCTTGAAGAGCCATGCCACATTTGGAGTGTGGGGCTTTGTACTACTGGGGGGGGGGCTTTGATACTGGAGTTAAATGAGGCAATTTGGTAGATTTCGGATTGACTGATCCCCGAAATGTAGGTTAATCAGGAGATTGATGCACTCAGATTGTTGATTTATTAATCCAAGTGTTCCTTCTTCATGTACAGTGCCAGAGGTGAGTTTTGAACATGAACATGAATTTTGTTAATTCAAACAATCTCAGAATAAAATAAAACACTACAGAGTCCCAATGCTCAATTCAAATGCATAATTCCTATTCAATGCATAATTCAAAATTCATATTACATGCATAATTCATATTCAAATTCAAATTCACATAATTAAGTTCAATCACAACTCAACCTAACCTCAAATTCATCAACAATTAAAGTTGACTCAATACTTGCCATCAAAATAGTAACAATGATAATCTGATAATGGTGGTGCTCGCAGAATCTAGTACTGCCATAAAATGGTTTTATACATCTGCAATTTGATTTGCCTAGTTATAATCCACAGAGTTAATTCTCTCTCATAAGCAATATTCAATGTGACACTGATCTTTACTCTAGCCAATAGGACATTGTCATGTAAGTTGAATATTGGGTCTTACCGAAAGTTAAACGAGAATCTCATCAGTCAACTCAACTGCTATAGACTAATTGATAATATGAAAATAACATTGTATTTTATATTATATTCACATTGGCCTCAAGGAATTAATAATATAATGAAAAATACTCATTTTACATACTCATATTATATAAAGTGATGGATTGAGATCAATGGTTGAGGTTATAATCATAGTAATTATGATCGTTGATGAATGACAATATCACTGAAAAGCATCAACTAATATGCTATGACTAATATGATAATATCAATTGCCTGATATGATAATAGGGAATGATAATATCATTTGTCAGAACAGACTACCTCCTTAGTTAGGGTTGACAGAACACATTCTCTATCTAAACAATAGCTGCATGAAAATGCCAAAAATCAACTCCACAGAATGATTACCTACAACAATGTTACATAAATGCTAATTTACAATACCCAGTGGACAATTACTTATAGTAAAGCACGAGCAAAGGAAATGAACAGCACATTGGAGCAGAATCCAGTGCAAAATGAGCGGGGCAGTGTTGCCGAGGCAGCTTACGATGAATTGTTGTTTTGTTCTAGAACTACCCATAAATAACAAACTGAAATATCTGCTATTAATAAGCCTAAAATTGTTACCAAATTATCAGATCTTATAAATATCAAAACTGGCCATGATTAACTGGCTTACAATGATGATTACTTTTTTTAAATTTTAGTCTATTTTATATGGCTATCGGCCAGAGTTCACAAGAGTCGTGCATAATTACGGTATTAAATATTTACCAAAAATACGGTTTTACATCTAATAATCTTGTGAATCGCTGCAGAAGAGCCATGAAGAGCTATGCATTTACACGTTTGCTATTTATCAACTGTAGGAGATGATAGAATATGCACGGTTAGTCTCTCAGTCATGCTAAACCTGTTGTATATGAGTCTTGGTAAATTATATAGACAGTTATGGAAAGTCATGGAAAAGTCGTGGATTTTTTCTAAATATCGGTATGAACCCTGTATATATTTGTCTCTGCTGTGCTGTTTCTAACCTAAGGCTTCACAAATGATCATTCATGAGTTTCAATATTAAATTAATCAGTATTTTTTGGCTCAAATCAGGCCAAATCACCAGAAAATTTCACTGTGATTTATAAAAGTAAAATTAAAGGTTTTTAATATTACGAGGTAAATTGTAATATCTCTGTTATTGATGTCACTCATTGGGCATTGATAGGAGTGACATCATTCATTTCTCCTCACAGATCTGCAACATGTCCACAATGTCGTTTCTCCGGCAAGATGGAGCTCCTACGTCTCTATTTTGCTGAAAGCAAAAATGAGAATAATCAAGTTGATGCTGACACTCTGCAATGTAACCTGGATAATGCACAGGTAAACAGGCAGTATATTATGCTAAAACTTCCTCAAAATAATGTAGCTTTCAGTAATATCTTGAAGACTTGTGCATTTTATGACCACCGTATTGAACTTGCTAAGAAGCCTGAGATTCATCCCATTTTAGGACGTGTAAATCTCCAACAACTATACCTACATTTCTTGGCGAACTTATGAAGCTATAAAAAGTGTCCTTGCCTTTGCCTATCATTGAACAAAAGTTGATTCTAGCTGTTGATATTATAAATGTGTTTGACATTACAATTATTGTTCTAATACGTACAGGTATATAAAATATGGCCTAAATTCTAAAAGGAATAAAATGAATGCGTACTGTCAATACAGAGGACTCTAGCCCATGATTCCATTGGTAGACCTCTTGCCCACTGTAGTGTTTGAGATTCTATTGATTGACTTCTCCTGTTATTTAGATGTCAACACTCACTGTCTGGCTTGCATTTCACATAAGGTTGTTTCAGCTTCCTACTGTCCCACAATATTCAATTCTCATGCTTGGTTTTTGTCAAATTATTAGTATAAAATATCCCATATTTTATTGTGAAGCCTGCATATGAAATTCATTTAATGCAATTTTGTTTACAGTTTCCAGTGAGCTTGAAGGAGAAGGAATTGAAGAAATTAAAAGAAGACGTTACAAAACAGAAAGAAATAAGTGATAAACTGAGGTGAGTTTCTCGAGGTTTAGAAATGTATGTCTCCTATAGAAATGTATGTCTCCTATAGAAATGTATGTCTCCTATAGAAATATATGTCTCCTATAGAAATGTATGTCTCCTATAGAAATGTATGTTTCCTATAGAAATGTATGTCTCCTATAGAAATGTATGTTTCCTATAGAAATGTATGTCTCCTATACTGTAAGTTAAGGGCACAGCCTGCCCTCAGCAGGCCAGTGTCTCATTGATGGTCTTGAGATGATGGGCATATCTTCCCAATGAGCTCATCTGAACTTGCAAAATCAATGTAAAAACTTCAGTTTTTTAAGTTGAAGCAGGAGGAGAAGCATGCCGTGCAGCTGACATGTTCTTTATGTGGCAGGAAGGAGGTGATTAAGCTGGAGAAGGAGCATGCCCTGCAGGAGAGGCAGCTGAGCTCCATGAAGGCGCAGCTGCAGGTGCTCAGCGACGCCCAGCAGCGCAGCAAGGACCTCAGGCTGGAGCGAGACACCGCCAGGGCCAAGCTCAGCAGCCTGCAGGAGTGAGTGCTCCATGTGCTGCTCCATGCCGCTGCTGCATGTGCTGCTCCATGCCACTGCTGCATGTGCTGCTCCATGCCACTGCTGCATGTGCTGCGCCATGCCACTGCTGCATGTGCTGCTCCATGCCGCTGCTGCATGTGCTGCTCCATGCCACTGCTGCATGTGCTGCTCCATGCCACTGCTGCATGTGCTGCNGGTAGAGCTGCTTCTCTACTTCTCTCAGGCAGAATGCAAGACATGTCACTCACGGGCAAAAACGGAACTGAAGAGTTTCTGCCGTGGGAGGGTGGAGGCAAAGATGTTGGGTTGGTGTGCAGGGCGCTGTCTAGTTACATGTAACGTTTTTTTGATTGGTTTACTCCCTCTCATACCCTGTGTGTGCAGGCGACGGTGGAGGGCGCTGGGTGCTCGCAGGTGAAGCCCGGCCCCCTGCAGCTGTCCCCCCGTCGTGCCGCTGGGTGCTCGCAGGTGAAGCCCGGCCCCCTGCAGCTGTCCCCCCGTCGGGCCGCATATATTATATTTTTTTACAATTGAAGTTTAGTTTGTGTTTGTGCAGTCATACCCCAGTTAATATTTGATCAAGAGTCAGCACTTCTTTTAACAATTTGCCAACTGTCATATCTTTTCCATCGCTGATTATATTTTTATATCAATAACTCTATGCGTGACAAACAATGATAGCTGAGATATTCAGGAAATTTTCTGAGAAAAAATGAAAAATATCAAGTTTAGAAAGACCTGTTAAAATGATTCCTGTTTGCATGTATATTTTAAATTTTCAGTCACTTTTTTCTGTGTCGATCATTGTATCATCATTAACATTATATCATTATTGTATTCTTAATGCTTACTTTGCAGGAAATTAATCATAATTTCTTGTAACAATAACAATGTCTTATTTCTCAACACCTTGTATTTTTCAGAAAGAAGACACTGATCGCATAAAACTGAAGGTTATGGATGTAAACGGTCAAGTCGTCCGCTTCGATATCAACCAGCACACCTCCCTCGAGAAGGTCATGAGATTTTACTGTGCCAGGTCAAAGATGGCTCAATCTACAACGCGATTCTTATTTGAAGGGAAACATGTATCAGGAGATGACACACCAAGAAGATTGAACATGGAAGATGGTGACACCATTCAAGTGTTTCAGCCGCTACCATAACTGGAGGGCATGCTTGACCACAAAATGAGATTGAACTCAGCAAAATCTTTGGATGAAATGAAGCTAAATTGTAACCCTGGTTTTAACCCTAAACCCTCCAGCACTCCTTGGGCCAAGTTGACAGCTTGATGACTGCTATACTGACAGTTTGTCTTTGTTGTGGCAGAGTCTTAGTTTCGAATCATATCCTGCCATATAACCTTGACACTCAGTGTTGGAGATAATGAAGTACTTTATCATTCCTCCAATACTGTTATTGCGTTCTTGATTAAAATCTTCCTTCAAAGTAAGTTTGTGAAAATGTGCCCATTATCAGTCGTTTCGTCTTATAGTTTTTTCTGAAACAAATGTACCCATGGCTCATTTAGTGGCTTTGAAAATATTTGTGGCTTACACACCCCCGGCTTCAAGGATATTGTTTTTGAGGATTAGGATATTGAAATATGCAATGAGGATATTTTTTGATGAGGATATTTGATATATGCAAGGGATTTTGATGTTCATAACTATTCATGAGGTGTTTGAATCATGATTATTAAATGTTCTACTGCCAAACTGCTGCAACTTATTTGCCTAAATATGGTTAACTCGTGACCACATTAGTCATCCATGTAAAGAATTTGTAAGACTTGGGAAGGCGAGCAGCGTGGGAAGGCTAGCTCTTAAAGTCGCGGTCCTGACGAAGGCGTCAGCAGTCATGAAGTGAACCTGGCAACCGCAAGTCGCGGTCCTGACGAAGGCGTCAGCAGTCATGAAGTGAACCTGGCAACCGCACGTCGCGGTCCTGACGAAGGCGTCAGCAGTCATGAAGTGAACCTGGAGCCGATTCTGACCAGAAACTGGCGCACAGAGCTGGGATCGAACCCGCGCCTCTCTGCGCCAATCTTGGTACTCTGAACTTTAACCACTGGGCCACCCTGCCCAGTGGTTACTCTAGACCACTTGTCAACACGGTCTTCGGAGCTTCAATTATTCACACGTGAATTATTGTACGAGTCCATTCGCGCGTCGCAAGTTTTATTTGTTGCTCAATTTTCCTAATTTTCACAATAATTGCAATTGAGTTCAAGACAAAGTCCATCAGGACATTTATTTAAGTAATAAAAACAGCATTATAGTAGGCTTGGGTAGATTGGATTAAATGATCAGCTGTGAGAAATACTTTAGGAGAATTGCAGGAATTGGCGATGGGCCACGCATGTCCAATCAACCATGACGCTGCTTTACTAAATCATGTAAATGAGTCTGATTTGATCCGCTACAATTTCCGGACTTGCGTACGCATGGTCCGGAAGAGTTGTTTTCAGTAAAGCTCTGTTGTGACCGCGGCCGTTGGTAAAAAATTTCAACACGAATGCAACACCCAAAATGACCTAAATTTTTCTGATGCGAATTTTTCAATCTTGAATAACTTTACTACTTTGATAACAGATATGATAGCAAGATGGATGATAGCGCGCCGTTCTTGTCTAAGAAAGTTTTGCACGATGCTCACATGGAAACCATGAGCCTGAGAGCCTCTATACCGGATACCCTACAACCAAACGCCGGCAACTATCTTGTAAAAAGTTCAAGGACTCTGCTACTAGTTAAATTGCACTATAGTCTATAGACTCTAGGACTCTAGGTGCATGTCAGTTGATTGTTGATGTTGGCAACATGTCGCCTATTTTACCGATTTGCAGGACATATTTGCAGAGCTGGCAGCTGGGTAGCGCTACTTTGAAATGTAGCGGCCGCTACCGCTACCGCAGTATGTGGCGCTACATGCTCTAAATAAAGCGAGCGCTACCGCTACTGCTACACCCACTAGATTGTAGCGGGCGCTAGCCGCGCTACTGCTACAGTAAAATGTAGCGGGCCGGTAGCAGCGCTACAGTAGCGCTGCTACAATGGCCAAAATTATAGGAAATCTCTAAATATTTATTGTTCTGCTAATGGGATTTACTCATAAACATTCAATGATAATAAAACATTTTCAAAACATATCAATAAAACTTGATTGCAATTAACCTAACCAAACTAGTACGGGTTAGATACAGATACAGTAAATAAAAGTTAGTTATTTTTATGTTTTACCTTCCCTACATGGATGTCTACTTTAATCTACCAATCTCAAAAATTATCCACATATATATATATATAAAAACTTTTATAACTTTTATTTGAATATATATGTGGATTATTTTTGAGATTGGTAGATTAAAGTAGACATCCATGTAGGGAAGGTGAAACATAAAAATAACTGTAAGCAAACTGAAACATGAAAAAATACCTGTAAGTGGTAACAACTTAACAAGTAACAACTAACATGTTGGCACTAGTAACAGGCTGAGGTTGACAACATTACACCGAAATCTTTCATACAGTTTTATTCTATAATTTATATTATGTGTGTATCACGCTGGTTTTTTATTGTCTATTATGCGACTTCTACCATCATTGTGCGACTATTGGCAGAGCTCTAAAATTCAGAGTGCATGCTCTAAGAGCGGTTAGGTTGATTTCCCGCTATCTTTCATTGATGGCCCAATACGAAATCAAGTTAATTTTTAGCACCAAGTGGCACCCTTTGCAAATCCCATGGCAATTTCATATTGCCATGATAGAAATTTTTCAAAAAGAATTAAGCTGCCAGTTGGATAGGACTTTCATAAGTAAATGCCTCCCACACACTGAAGAGAAAACTCTGTCTGCCATTTTGGTAGCTTTTTGTGATCCATGCATGGTTTGTGCACATACTTACAATTGTTTTACAGTCAATTTTTGACTTTACAAGTGAAAAAATGTTGTTTTTCTTATTTTTCATGGAAGAAATTGAAAAAACATTGAAATGGGCAAAAGTGTTGAGATTCACAGGCATTTTTGTCCAATTCATAGTTGGCTTCTGAATAATTTTATACTTTCTTTGATGTTTACAAACAGTGCTGGCATTTGATTGACAACTGTTGACATTTGATTGACACTTCCTTGTTCTCTAACACGTTTAAGTGTGGTAATATTGTATTCAGGGCGTATTTCATACTGGTGGTACAACCAACTGGTCAGTCATGCCTCACTTAATGTGTTAAATTCATGGAGATGTGGTCAAAAAATATCTGGTGGCAAGATATGGTTGATTATTTTCTTGGATCCCATAGCATTATAGAGTTTAATTATATTATATTATATTATATATTATATATAGAGTTTAATTATATTATATTATATATTTAATTATATTCCGAAGACTCAAGTGTAGGAATAAATTATCTTTTGCATGAGGTTAATCCCTCCTAATATTTAAATTAATATTTTGGGCATCTTGTCAGATTAGTGGCAATTTTTTATTTGAAAAGTATGTGACAGTGTTTAAACTGGCATAGTAATATATCTATATAATTCCGTTTTTTCTAGTTTTGTCAGAATATTACTGTTATGCTCAAGCCTAGCTACAAATAGTTCAGGAGCACAATACAGTTAAATAAGGAGTTTGATCATCTTATGGTATGACATCTTACCATACTGTTTCAAAGCAAAACATGAAATAGTACTGAAAACTGTTCCAAGTTATTGTAAAAACTGCTGTCGTAAATTCCTTGTTGGTCTATGATCAGTTCAATCTATTACCTCTATATTAAAAAAATTGATAAAAATTACTAATTTTGATGAGCATGACCAGACTTTTTATAAAGAAATTCTTCTATGACTAAATTATGCTGACAATGCACAGTTGTGTCCCTGCTATTATGGAAAACATCAACAACATCTACTTATTGTACTAGTATCAAATTGGCATGGAATATATTTACCATTTGAGCTGCAACTTGAGATTTTCCACCTTTCCAGAGTTAAAAAATTCTTGCGATTTGAATTACCTCTTATCTAATAAATATTAGAAATGCACAATCAGACTGCAAGATTTCAAATTGAAAAAAATTGTCACTTTTGAACTGTGAGATCTCAATGTTTTGGTTTGGTAATTTCACCTATTCTAACTATTTCATTCATAGGTAGTAAAATTCCAATTCTGCTCGTGAACATAGCTGGAAAATCAGGCAGAAGCTACCCTTGAGGTAAATGTGACAAAAACACCCACCTGTTATTATGAACCTTTATTTCACCTGTTATTATGAACCTTTCACATCTTCTCCAAAGTAAAATAAGAAAAACATCAGATTTTTGCCCATTACCGGTATTTTAAATAGCATCTGTGAAATTATTGTTTTTACATCAAAGTTTAGGAAATCTATCCAGTATTCCAGCTTGGCATGCCAAGCTGAAAGTGGATTATTAAAGTCATGAATTCATAGACTCTGAAGCCATGGAATCATGGAATTTTAAGCCATAAATACATGGAATTTGAGCCATGAATTCATAAAATTTCAAGCCGCTAATTCCTTTTCCAGGTTGTGAAAAGCCATTTTGGGTCACAAACTTCTGCTGTGTACACATATTATGCAAAATCTTTAAATTTATCTTTGAAATGCCAATACAAACATATTTCTTCTTTTTAGAGCCTTAGAGGCGATTGAGTATGTGATAAGCTCCAGTCGCGGCCCTAAAGATGGATGTTTTCCATCTTTAAGGCCGTGATATTGCAGCTCTAGTATCATATAATTTCAGTAGGTACCTATGAAATCTTGTAGCTCTAATGTCCTGTATTTTTGTTTCATTAAAAAAATTGTGGTTTGTACTTCACATACATGTCCTTTCATAAAATTTTAAACTTCCACAATCCGCAGTACATCAATGTTCCTGTCAAAATATCCTTCAGATTGTAATAACAAGTCAACCCAAAACATTTCCTTGAAGATTGCATTTTTGCAGTTACATCAGAGTGGTCTGTGGTCAGACTGCATTATCATGTGTTCAGTTGCCACTAAAGTGAAAACAAATGTTAGTGTTGCTGTTTGGCTATTTTAAGGGTAAAATTAGAGATTTGGGGTCACGGGGTAACATGTGCACGGGACTTTGTAAATAAGTTTGTGGCTTGTCAATAACTTTTCATGGATGAGATTTGGAATTCATGTCTCAGGAATCATGGCTCCGTCAACCCGGAGAAATGGAATCACTGCTCAAACAAAGTGAATCGCGGCTGGCAAATCCATAAAACCAAAGCTGGAAAAATCCAGTCTCGGCTTGCCAAGTAGATATATTCCATGCCTGGGCTACATTAGGCAATCACACTGACATGCTTTAGCATCATTTTCTGTCTGCTGCTCATAGTCAGGAAGACGTACCAGGTGCACACTGCGCAGGAATTAATATTGCCATTTTATCAATCTGTGCAGTGCTGTTAATAGCTGATAGAAGATTTTTTATTTCAATCAACACTGACACATAAAATAATGGTCTGCAAAAAGGGCAAAGAGAATGAAATGGCAAACTTTGATAAACACAAATATAGATAACATTCAGCATTCAAGATTCAAAGTAATTTATCATTAACTCAGAACTGGGGAAGCATAACTTCCCCAAGTGGGATCCAAGAAACCACCACCCTCCAGCAGTAAGAGTGACATCCCATTACACTACGACATTTCTATGAAATGTCAAAGGACTGTCCCGATTTACTCTGCCCATCCCTTATTACCCAGCTTGATGGTATCTTTCACTTTCAGTATCAATTTGAAAGATAGACAGCCAAATAAAAATTTTTATGTTACCTACTACACTGCTGAAGTGCTTAAGTAGTCTAATTCCCTCCAATACCACTAAATTCCCCACAGCAGTGAGCACTTTGGTTGCAAGTTGCAACTTATGTAGTCCTACACTCCTGCGCACTGCCAAAAAACTACAAACAAATGTGTAAAATTGGCCAGATTCATGTGCCTTTTTGTCCACTTCATTTGTGGCTTCTGCTCAATTTTCCAGTTAGACAGCCTAGTGGCCTTGAAAATAAGCTATAAATATTTCTAACAGAACTGAGCCTGTGAGTGCTGAGCCACAACATTTAAACTTCTAGCACAATCAAGACGAAGCAGGTTCTTGCTTATTTGGCAATCAAAGCCTACAAATTGTAATTCTGGGTTCCTGATTTTCAAATTGTAAGCTTCTCTATTATTATCTTGTGATCAAACTTAACATTCCACAAATCAGTCAAATTGCAGTTCTGACCTCTGTAAACTGCATTATATGGTTTTTGTTAATGACTCAGACATTTTTAGACTCTTCCTCAAGTTCATTTTAGAATGTTATCGTTATACTCCTATAAGAAGACCAGTAAAATATGGATAGCAGCATTATCATAAATAAGATATTGGTTCAAATCTTGAATACATGAGAAAATTCAAATTGAACTGATTTCGAAATTTTTTAGTTTGCCACTATGCTTAATGAGTTGCACACTGGAAGTTCAGTGCAGTATCTACTGAGTGGGTGCCTGGGGCCAAGTGGCAGATCATGGTATCAAATTGTCGATGTCATTGACATTAACCCTTGACGCCTTGGAAAGTTCAATGCCAAGTGGACAGCTGTATGTGGACCATGCAGTGACAGTTAGAATTCATGGCAGTTAATTTGTGTTCTTAACTTAATTGGTATTGTGCCACAATTTAAAATACATGCTCCACCAATCAGGGCACAACTATACAAGTCACAACCTGCTGCTAGATTTTTATTTATTTTTTTTGCAAGATGTATTCATATATTTTTCAGGCAGTTATTCAATTTCTCTCATTGCAAGGCCAAGGTGCAAGTTTAAAGTTGAATGATGGCTGAATTTTAATTAGACAGCGGGCAATCAGTCTTACTCTGACAATTCAAGGTTTTGCAGGAAGCTCATCACGATGAAACAATTGGCATTTGTTGATTTGTTTGAGGATATTTTATAATGCTATCTAATAAAAAGTAACTTTTCTTTTTGACTGCAGCTGTAAGTGATAAGAATGCATGCAGGTTGTGTTATATGCGATGAGGTCTTCATGCCCAACATTGAAGTGTCGGCCACACCGTGTGGTCACATCTTCCACACCACATGTGTTTCTCAGTGGTTTGAAAGGTATGCCAAGTAGTTTTGTAATATGGTATTAGAAATTATTGAATTATGTCAATTGCGATAGTTTAATGTAATTTATAATATAGGTATATAATTCGCAAATTGTGATTCATCAACCACAAGGTTTTTAGTATACTACTGAAGGCATCTCTATAAGAAAATTACTTGTTCTTTTCTCATGTTCCTTGAATGCCATAACTTATGATGCTGTGCACAGTATCTATTGTGTTGACATGTACATATTCATATAATGTTTCCTCCTTATTTATATATGCAGGGTTTGTACCAGTCATGAAAGACCTGGAAAGTCATGGAACTTGATTTTTCATTTTCCAGGCCTGGAAAGTCATTGGATTTCATTTCAGGTTATAGGAAGTTATCAAATTTGAAAATAAAAGAAGAAAAACGAATGTGTTTTTCTGTGCTGCGTGTGTAAAACTGTTTGTGCAGTCTCTCGTTTCATGTGTTCTGATTGGAGAACCAATTACATGAGCTCGGTCACCAAACTTAGTTGCATTGGACAACTTTTTGATCTGCAGTTGCAGCATTCCTTCTTCAGTGTGCAATTTCTACATCACCATCTCTGGAAAGTGTAAATTTCATGGCTTGTGTAGTTGTGGTTAAGAATAGAAGCTAATCATGACTGGCTTGCTAGCCATCCAAAGCATGAAGGTATGGCGATATCATGTACATTGTGCTCAGAAGACTTTGAGGTGTCAAATTTGGGGGAAGCAGC